CTGTTTGTGCACCATCTCTTGGTGTTACCCTTGTGAGAGATCACAACAAGGAGAGCAGAGAAGGAACCTAGAGATGAAAGGAAGAAGGGTTGTGGTGGTATTGGTAGCCCATGTGCAGAGAACAGACAGTAACTCATCTGGGTGGTCACCCAGGGCTGGAGTATGATGAGGGAGCTGGATGTCGACTCCTGGGTCCCTTTGTATCTAGTCCACTGGTGAACCACAGATGCAAGGCAGCAAAAATGAAGCCCACTTGGAGGCTAGATATAGTCTGCAAGCTGACAGGAGCTACCCCAGCCTGCACTCTAGTGTTGAACCTGTCTCCGTGGAAAGACTTCCAACAGACTAGGTGGAAAAAGTCCAAGTATACCTATGATTGTGCTTTCTTGGGTCTTAGGATCAGAATTTGCTTTCCATACTAAAGTTCATTTTTAGAAAATAAAGAAAAAGCTTAAAAATTATTACTGTTATATTATGATACAAATCTTATTGAAAAACTTTTTTTTTTTTTTTTTGGATGACTTGTTTCAAAACTGGCCTTGGAATTTGTAAGCTCAATGTATGTGGGAAAGTAAATCCCACAGCCTAAGGATCATCTTATAATAATAGTTTTCTACTTCTTTAGTATGACAGTGTATCATTAGCCTTTATCAGCTTAATTTCACTTATAAAACCAACCATTTGGCTTTATCTACTCAATAGTAGGCCACTAGAAAGAAGAAAAAAGTCTTCAGGGTTTAGATAAATAGGGGAAATTGAATCACTGTTTGTTTTTGTCTTTTGTTTGTCTTTGGTAGTCATAATTGGAACTCTTTACCATAGCGATTCCCCAAAGCCCAGAAAATTTCAGGGATGTTCCTATCTTTCGGGAGTCCCTGGGTATACAGTGGGCAACATGGCTAACCAAAAAGTTGGAGGTTGGAGTCTACCTGTAGGTGCTTTAGAAGAAAGGCCTCATAATCTACGGCCTGAATATCAGCCATTAAAAATACAGTTCTACTCTGATACAAATGGGGTTGCCATGAGTCAGAATGGACTCGATAGCCACTGGTTTATTTGTATTTCAGATCTTAATGATAGCACAGAAAAATGATGACTCTGGAGCTTTGGTTTTTAAAATCATTAGTATCTTTTATGAAACAAATTTTAGAAAATAAGTATTACTGAAAATACTTACCTGGTGTACTCCCTATAACTTTGGTACTTAAAGAAACTAATTGTGACTGTTCTAATACAGTCAGTGGATTAAGGTATCATAAGTTTTAGACTGTTGTTAGGTGCTGTCAGATCGGCTCTGACTCATAGTGCCCCGTGTACAGTAGATTGAAACATTGTCCAGTCCTGTGCCAGCCTCACAATCCTTGCTATACGTGAGCCCATCGTTGCAGCCACTGTGTCAGTCCATCTTGTTGAGGGCCTTCCCCTTTTTCACTGACCCTCCACTTTACCAAGCATGATATCCTTCTCCAGGGAATGGTCCCTTCTGACAACATGACCAAAGTAGGTGAGACGAAGTCTGGCCATTCTCACCTCCAAGGAATATTCCCACTGCACTCCTTCCAGGACAGATTTGTTCATTCTTCTTGCAGTCCATGGTACTTTCGATATTCTTCATCAACACGACAGCTCAAAAGCCTCAGCTCTTCTTCAACAGTCTTCCTTATACATTGTCCAGCTTTCACATGCATATGAGGTGATTGAAAACACTATGGCTTGGGTTAGATGTACCTTAGTCTTCAAAGAGACATCTTTGCTCTCCAGCACTTGAAAGAGGTCTTTTGCAGATTTGTCCAGTGCAGTATGTTATCTGATGTCTTGACTGCTGCTTCCATCGGTGTTGATTGTTGAACCACGTAATGCGAAATCTTTGACAATTTTACTCTTTTCTGTGTTTATCATGGTGCTGCTAATTGGTCCTGTTGTGAGGATTTTTGTTTTCTTTATGTTGTTGTTGTTGTTGTTGTTATATGCCGTCGAGTCGGCCCCGACTCATAGCGACCCCTCCTTGGGTTTCCGAGGCAGTATCACTACAGAAGTAGGATTGCCC